CCCCAAAACCCCAAAACCCCAAAACCCCAAAACCCCAAAACCCCTATTGCTACCGAATGAATTGAATGTAAATTCCAACAATTAATAAAGTCTCTGTGGAGTGTACCCACCAGACTGAGAGTTGTCATGACTCTGTCTAATACCAGGGTAGTTATGACCAGTTGAGCTTCTTTGGAACTCCTTGACATCATTTCTGACCTTGGCGAATTTCTCATCAAGTTTCTTCTTAGCTTGCTCATAAGTATCAAGGGCTTCTTCCATTGCTTTCTGGGCTCTCTCTGAATTCCTCTTAGCATTCTCAACATGGGCGAACTCTACCATTTGTTTCTTAGCTTCCTCAAGAGCTTGGTGGGCCCTATCGACGTCCTGGTTGGCTTCAGAATTAAGCTTTTGGGCTTCAATAAGTCTTCTCTCAGCGTAAGCTAGAGCTTTCTCTTCTTCACTCTGTTGATTGTTCTGTTGATTGTTCTGTTGGTTGTTCTGTTGGTTATTCTGTTGAGGATTTCTCTGGTTTTGTTGTTGCTGCTGTTGCTGAGGAGGCTGGTTTTGGTTGTTTTGTTGGTTATTGCTAGAGATTAAGGGGACTTTGGTCTACCTGAAGCGATCAAAAGCTGGATATCTTGGTTGTGGAGGCTGGGAGAATCCATTGTATTGAGGTTGTTGGTTCTGGGTTGTGGGCTGACTGTTATATCCTTGATTATTGTATCCGTTCTGATTGTTGTCTTGTTGCCCACCGAAACTAGTTTGAGGGGTGTTGTAACTTGAGCTACCACCGAAGCTGGTTTGTTGCTGCTGTTGAGGAGGTTGGTTGTAGTAAGTTTGTTCTGGCTCATCGAAGGATAGGTGATTATTTTGAGTGGTGTCATGATAATCATTTGACCAAGAGGAAGGAGGTTCTTGGTAACTTGAAGGTTGGCTTGATGAGGTAGCAGCATTAGATCTCTTTTGGTTTTCATGATCTACAAAATGCTCTTCCAATCTAGTCACAGTTCTATCATTTGCAACTTCCTGAAAACCAACCCTTCCATCTTCGAAATAAACGACATATGGAGTCTCCTTGACACCAAAGGCATCAACAATTTCAGCATTCTCAGGGTTGAAAATATCTACTCTCATGAGGTTAAGTCTATCATTAAAGTCATCAACCCATTGCCTATGAAGTCTTCCAGGCTCGTCCTTCCTAAGGAAGATGCCAAGAATATCTTCAACACGGTTATCGACTTCTTTCTGTGCTACTTCTTGTACTTCATCATAGAACATAATGGCTCTGTTATCCTCTTGGTTATCTTGGATAAAGAACTCAACATCTTGGCTGGTATCGCCTTCATACACTGAAGCTGTGGTGAGGCCCACCACCAGCAGGAGACTCAGGAATATCTTGATCTTCATGCTAACGTTTATTTTATTTTATACGAAATAGTGGTCAGGGGTTTTGGGGTTTTGGGGTTTTGGGGTTTTGGGGTTTTGGGG